ACTAGAATTGTTGGGTCAATATTGATACAGGATCGTGTTTGTTTCGCAAGAACTATGGTACTGACGGCTAACACTAGGATAAAAGTCACGAGTCATAAGTGCCGTAACAGATATGGAAAATACACTCACATTCGTGATTTATTAAATGACTTATTAACTAATAATTCTTTTATTCACAAATTGACTTGTAAACTCGGTGAGAAAAAAAAAAAGATAACATTGTCTGTGACAAAACTTGAATTCCAAGATGGCGGTGGTATATATATTTATAATGATATATTATGATGATAATGTTGTCATATTTCCTTTCTCCTTATGTACATATAATAATTTAACGGAGAGGGGCTACGGGGCATTATTATATATGATAAAAATAGGTATTCATCCATATATTAAAGGTATTATAAATTTGTAAACACAGATGTCGCTGTATTTTAGAGGTATTCATCCATATATTAAAGGTATTATAAATTTGTAAACATAGATGTCGCTGTATTTTACAGGTATTCATCCATATATTAAAGGTATTATAAATTTGTAAACACAGATGTCGCTGTATTTTAGATAATGGTTTTGTGTATCAAACGTGAGTTTATCATCGATATTATTTTCGGCAAAAAACATAAAAGTTCGGTGTGGAATCAGGGGGTATATTGAAGTAATTATGTAGTAGTTATGGACAATTTTTATTGACTGAGAAAAAAGGACGCTTTTGGAGCATAAGGGCAGGAACTCAGGGGATTGAGCCCCCCTCCCCCTACTTTGCAAGAAAATTATTAAGAAATACACAAACAACACTGTCCGCCGCACAAATTAAAAGTAAAACCACGAAATATTTCTCGTACTAACAAATATAAAAATATCACAAGGAACTATTACCCCACTCGCAAAACGCCACAAATCTAAGAAACTCTGTGAAGGTTTAGAAAACCGACCTGTACATTGTCCGTTTAAGTTGATGAATTAGCAGATATTTTTAATTTTATTTTTGTAACAATTTTTGCGCAGGGGGTACAAAAGGACCATTTTCTCAAGGCCGTCCCTAATTTTGAACTGACAGACTGATGGAAGGCAGCTAGTTAACAGCACCCACCGCCAACTCTTTGGCTACTCTTATCTGATCTAATAGTGGGATTTCAGTGTCGTTCTTACATAGCATCCATGGCCTAATAATGAAGAACGTGTTGTTTTTATGGCAACGGGACATAAACCAAGAACCCTCATATTCTCTGTCTGGACACACTAGCCGTAAAGCCACGTCTGGCCATAGTCGTTTGGTTTAAGTGTAAAGCTGCACAATGGGTTCTTTTGAGCTGTCCCCACTGGAGGGGTACAACTTCGAATTTTGGCATTAAATTCCCCACAATTTTACTGCTGATCCCCCTTGGGGGGTTTATTGTTTTTGTAAAGAACTCATTAGGAACGACACCTTTTTAATTTCATGGTTATTTTTCATTTCAACACTGAAACTCGCTTGTCTTGAAGACAGACAGACATATAGACACGTGAGCTTAGCCTTCACCTAGCCACGTGTAAAGTTGTGTTTGAAACATACTTCCCTACCGAAACGGTACAATGAGAGAACAAGAACTCCCCCGTCGCCAGCTGATGGTGGCGTGGGTAGTAAAGCAAGTTTCCTGTCGGACAAACAAACATACAGGTGCAGGGACACAAAGTATAGGTACTTGACCTACTTTTTGATCACACATCGTCTTAAACCCACTCTTATTAGACAATTAGTATAGCCAGATCGAACAGAACTGTTCCACAGGCGCGTATGCTGCGTTTGTTGTCGCAAACAGGTTGACTTGCTCAAATAATGTCGCTCAAATCTGTTCGATAAGTAGGTCAGACGCCTTTCTTATATTTACACACACACACACACACACACACGCGCGCGCGCGCGCGCGGACGAATGTGACAGGAATGATGTTATAACACCAACATACAAGCAGACGACCCTGTTCTAACAGAACTGCAAGTGGTACATAAATACAGACAGACACGATATGGTGGTACCGGTATATAAACACTACTAAATACCTTGTGGTAGCATCTATATATATATAATAGCCAAATAATATGTGCCACGCGAATATGTGTCTGTATCTCCTGGACGGTTATTTGTAGGAAAAAATAATTATATACATCACAATATTTATTTTCCAGAGTACGTTACAGGGAAATATTAAATTTTTCTTCTTGCAATTTCTAAAATATCATAACGATATCAAATTCGATCCGCCAGTCTTCGTGTGTGGTAAACGGCCAGTCTTAGAAATAATAAAAATGTTTCTTTTTATTAGGGAAGTTCACGAACGGTACTTCCTCCATTGGGTGATTGAAAGAAAAAAAAACAAGCAAACGGTACTTCATCCATCGGGTGATTGAAAGAAATATTTTGAAGATTGGAGCGAGCATGAACAGAAAAAACTCATAAAGAGAGGAACGTGTTTGACTATATATATATATATATATATTTGTGTTGTTGTTGTTCAGTATATATATATATATCTGTGTCTTCCATGATTTTATTGTACCATGTCGAATAGTTTAATCTGAATAAAATATCTCCTCTTTGACAATTGTCAAAAAGTGCTCACTTTGGTAGCGGTCTTTTCTCGCGCTCAGTAAAATGGCAAAGAACGGTGTCATCCAGCTGGAAAAAAAAATCACCACAGCTACTTATTGAATCTGAAAGCTCTATTTTGCTGGTTGCCAACAATACATTACAGTCAGTTTCCTTTGCTTAAAAACAAACGTAATACAATTGTTGTTATTGAAATAACACAAGAAATGACAAAAGACGGTTGTAAACTGCCCACTAGACAATCATATTGCATATACGTTTGGATCAAATTGATTGAATGCACATTTAATATTTATTTATCGCTGTTTTTACCGTTGAATTGTTTCAACGAGTACCTACTAATTGGCATATAAACACTGATACATACGTTGTAGTAGTATGGTATATGAGTACAAACAGACAGATAGGTTGTTGTATCAGTAACAATGCATACAAACATCACAAAGAAACGTACAGGTAAAACAATGCTGTAAACCAGTATAATAACAAGTTACTAGAAGTACACACATTTACAAAGGATGGAGGGGGTGTAACAAAACGTTCTTTATCGCTATAGATATATTTAAATCTTTTCCACAATAGCAGCGTCACGTTGTACTTTCTGCGCTAATTCAGATAAATGTCAGCCCCCGAACGAACGTAATGCTGATTTGTGTTCGGTGTGTGTGTAGCGTTATGACTAAAGTGTGTGTCCTTGCGACACAAACCACATTGTTATTTCGCACGCTGCCAACTAAAACTAATCAGCCAGACTGCCCCTAAAAAAAAATTTTTTAAATCAGTTTCTTTATCTTGATTCAAAAGCCAAATGAAAATGACTACGTCAACTCTTATAACGCATTTAACTTACTATTGACATGTTTGTTATGTTATTGGCTAATGTAGTTCGTGAAACAGAGACATTTGGAAGATATTGTAAGGTTTAGACATGTCTACGAACTTACACATTTAAATCCGGAGTTCGATCCCTGCAGTAGTCAGAATGCGCATAGTCCAAACAAACAAAATATGTCGATTTGAACAACGGGATGACATTTAGGCCTTAACTACACAAAACATAAAAAAATGGCACTTATACACAAGACAATATAATTATTTTGTCATGCACCAAAATCTACGAGTCAAAACGCGTTCATGTATTAGAATTTAGACATTTCTTTAGACTCAATTTTCAATATATTGAAGTTTATTGTTGACTTTTTTTATTTTTAAAAGTTTAAGAAAGTAGATGACACCTGTTTTCATAAAACTAGAGCCGCTTAAATCTAAACATGATAAAAAAACGAACGTTTCTCTCCAACACACTTTTTTAAAGAAGTAACACTGTTGGTAGCTTACAGTTCTCTGTAGATCGGCGTCAGTCTCACGGGTTGCCAGCAGGGATGATGAGGAGTTGTCATGACGACGAAGGCTACTACTGTCCGAATTAGTAGTTGGTTGCTAATTTTATCAACTGTTAAGAAGCTCTAATGTTTCCAGCATAGTTAAAGACACTCGTGATAAATGCTCGTGATCCGGATGAATGCGCGAACAGTACGGTTAACCTCCTCGAGGCAAGAACGACCCCCTACGCTTAAACACACATCTGTCAACTAGGTCGATGGCCCACAAATAGGAAACTTGGGGTTGTCCTGTATAGGGTATAAAAACACACAACCGTGAAGGCTCTTTTAAACGTTTTTCTTGTTCAGAAACTCTGACAGATGTACAAGATAAAAACAGAAATTTGGCGATAACCTGTATGTGCGTATATTCGAACTCCCAGGTCATACGCGCTTGCGCAAACAGCTAAAGCAGCATTGTTCCAATTTAAACATCGAGAACAGGAGCTTGTTTTTTGAAGAGCACGTGGTTAGTTGCTAGAGTATCTAACAACAGTCAATCAACAATAGTTGCTAGAGTATCTAACAATGGTCAATCACCAATAGTTGCTAGAGTATCTAACAATGGTCAATCACCAATAGTTGCTAGAGTATCTAACAATGGTCAATCAACAATAGTTGCTAGAGTATCTAACAATCATCAATCACCAATAGTTACTAGAGTATCTAACAATGGTCAATCACCAATAGTTACTAGAGTATCTAACAATGATCAATCACCAATAGTTACTAGAGTATCTAACAATGGTCAATCACCAATAGTTGCTAGAGTATCTAACAATGATCGATCACCAATAGTTACTGGCATAAATTATTTAGAACCGTTTAATACGTAGATGTTGTTCGTATTCATTTATTGAATATTGTTGAGAGCTATATACAGGATGACCCAAAATATATTTCCTAATTTAAAATTTAATAATTAAATAACTCACGAAATAGAAACATGGAGTTTTCAACATCTTGTAGCCAAACTGAAACAGTTTTTGTTTATTTTATCACTACAGTGTGTAGTGTTATTCTGTAAAATGGCAACCGTGCAGGAAAAGGCTCGATGCAACGTTTGGCTTGTAGAAACAAAGTCGGTGACTGTGGTGCTGCGTGATTACAGACGCCAGTACAGGAAAGAAGTATGGGGGTATGTTGGGGATATCGTATATCGCACGCCTATGTCAAACTAAAGACCAGGATAACATCGCCACTTTAACTGTGAACATGTTGCAGCAAACGTAGACTGAAATCGAATATCGGTCAGTTAGTTAATTATTTAATTTTAAAATAGGAAAAATAATTTTGAACACCCTGTATTTTTAACGTTGTAATGTATTTGTTAGCTAGAGGGTGCATTACGAAAAAGTTCTAATTTGTCGTCAAATTTTGCTCTACCACTTCCAGTGAAACAGGGAGTTAGTAGCAGTAGTGAAGTCAGTTGAGAAAAAAGAGAGTTATTTTCACTGCTTGCTATACAAGTAAATTATTTTTTGTGCACCTTACACATAGTGTAATTAGTATGGGTGTAAACGTAGGCCTACAACAGGTTACAACAGTGTTCAAGGTTGTAATAATGTTAAACAAGGAAATTAAATAATTTATGATTGTTACGTGGACTGAACATTAATTTTTTTTTCACCACATAATTTAAAAGAACCAGAAAACGAATGAACAAAGCTACAAAAATATGTAAAAAGCTAACTATAGGTAAAGTTTCATTTCCCTACCAGAGTGTCAACTTGTTTTAATTATCAAACAAAGTTATCCACCGGTATCACAAAATATTGTCTCTCACAGCTAGTTGTTTTCCGGTTATTACAATTAACTGGCTCTCGGCAAAAAATAATTGCGGACCAAATCTGTAAGTTATCTAACAACTACTAATTAGTACTGGCGAGTACATGATCGATAAAAAATATAAATTTAGTGAAATGTGCTGCCATCTGTTGAGTAACATTTTAAATTTCTAATTAAATAGGGTGGAAATCCGTGTGCAAGTGTTCTGCTACATGTCACAAACGTGAACTTAAGTACACTCAAACACTACCTTTCTTTATGTCGTTGTGGGCCTTGCTTAATTCTTGTTGCTTAGCAACGATTTGTTGATACGTAGAAACCTTTTCGGAAATAAGTCGAGTCACAACGCGTCTACAGTTCATCTAGCCTAGAAATGTTCGTGTTCAGAAACATGTAGGACTAACAGTGAGGTTTGTATGGAACGATATATATATGTTATGTTTAACAGTACCCTAAACATTATTTGCTATTTTCTCTCTCTTCCAGTGTACCTGCCATAATTCCAACAAATATGAAGTAATAATAGCACGTGCTAGCTTATCGTTTCGGCCAGCTGGTTGTTAAGTGTTAAATATGTTGTTGTTGTTTTTTTAATTATAACCGAACAAACACCTCACGTGAAGCGAGGAGCACACGTAACGACTGGAAATATTGGAGAAAAACGAATGACCGAATCTTCTTTCTTTGGGGAGTAGACAATAAACAAACAACCGGTCCGACAGCGAATGTAAAGTGTTCTTTCTTTAGGGAGTAGACAATAAACAAACAACCGGTTCGACAGCGAATGTAAAGTGTTCTTTCTTTAGGGAGTAGACAATAAACAAACAACCGGTCGGCAGCGAATGTAAAGTGTTCTTTCTTTAGGGAGTAGACAATAAACGAACAACCGGTTCGGCAGCGAATGTAAAGTGTTCTTTCTTTAGGGAGTAGACAATAAACAAACAACCGGTTCGACAGCGAATGTAAAGTACGTAATAAAAAACAAAAACAATTTTGTCTCCTTCATTAACAGGTCTTCAGATGTCAAGATGAATTTATTAGATTTGCCAGAATTAACTGGAGTAAAGTCGAGGTTAAGGTCGAGTAGTAATTCTACCTGGGCCAGTGGAAGCAGCAGACAATCCAGGTAATTATCATATGTTAATGAAACCCTACTAATAATATTAGTTAGGTCAACAGAACCAGTCAACATTTGTAGTTGATTGTTGTTATAGTTTAGCGTCTTGCCGTATTGTTGGTTAGCGTAGAATAATATTAGTTAGGTCAATAAACCCAGTCAATATTTGTAATAAATTATTGTCATAGTTTGGCGTCTTGCCGTATTGTTGGCTTGTTGACTGGTTTTATTGACCTAACTAATATTATTCTACGCTTTTGTAATAAATTATTGTCATA